GCTGCCTAGATAGCAAAATTTGTCTACTTCCTCTACTACTTCCCCAGTTAGAGTGAGGCTGGGTGCTGGACCAACCCAAACATTACACTTTGAAGGTGCAAAACGCATACCGAACATCGCTACACTAGCACTCAAACTATCCAGAAGAGCTTGCAACTTACCTTGATCTTCACTTAGTAGCACAATGTCGTCTGCATATTCTATATCAGACAGTCTGCCACCTGGGAGTTGATCGATACCGCTATCCTCGCACGAGGATAGGGCTGCTTCCATAATCAGATCTATCACGAAGTTAAATAGAAAAGGAAAGAGAGGGCAACCCTGACGAACACCACTTTCCGTGGTGAACTCGGGAGAAAAGGTGCCGTAAGCTCGGATTCGGCTTTAGCTATTAATATAAAGCAAGTGTAATACTGAAATTAACTTCTCGGGCACTGCCTTCAGGGAAAGACAGTGCCAGAGTTTACAGCGGTCGACTGAGTCGAAAACCGCTTTCAGATCTAGGAAGATAGAAATGGTGGGTCTATGAAAGGAGTGTCTATGTTCTAGAATTTGACGAAGTGTGAAGATATGGTAGATATAGCCTCGACCAGGTATGAAACCAGCCTGGTTCTCACGCGTGTACCCTTCATGTGCGGCAGACAATCGGCGGAGTATGATGCCAGCAATAAGTTTAGATTCAATGTTGATTAAACTAATTCCTCTGTACCTTATCTAGTTAGAATATTCATTTCCAAACCAAACGTCTGAAACGAACTACAAAATTGTGATCAACTCACTAATGACTGTATAACTTCTCACACCCCCATTTGTGCAAAAGCATCATAGAAACGGGTTAAAAATTTGCCCCACTGTAAACAATACATTATTGACTTATCTTGATTGGAAAACCAGTTTATAACGAGACCAATCCCGTGAAACGACAAAAGCCACACTGATTGCTACGAATGAGACACCCTATTCTTCTATGAAGCGGTTTGAAACGGACAGGGTCGTGCTTACCTGTGTTCGCAATAGGTGGTGTGGTGTTGAGTCCGTATCTATGTCCTTCGATTCTTACGTGATTTCGTCTCTAGTAGATCGACGAGAGATTGTTTGGAGCTAAGCATTAGGCCGATTCTTTGATCAATGGAAAGCAATTCTGCTAGCTACCTCAAGTTAAACAACCTTTGAACAGAAGAACGAAGCTCTGCCCCATACTCTCTGTATCCCATCCTACGACTGTTGCATCCATTCTCAGGGTTTTTCTACTCTTGTTTGTTTTCCCTCCACATTTTTTTGTTTAGTGTAGTGAAGAGGAGATAGTTGACTATTTGATTTCCTTGCTCAATTGTGTTTTAGTTGCTCAAACATGTTCAGTCTTGGCATCTGATCCTTCAATGGACGAATTTTCGCTCACAGGCAACATGCTAACTTCCCACGTGCGAGATCATTTCACTCATTTTGCTCTACTCGAGTCCGGCCTTCGACATCCTGAGTTGTTTCTTCAGGCGTGCGCTTATCGTCAGTTACCTGTAGCCACACGGAAACATTTGGTTCAGAAGTAAGCGGAACAATTCATGTGATCACTCCAATCCTCCTTTGGATCGTATTCAGTAGTTTATGTGTATTTCTCATATGGACTACGTCACCCGCGATATTTGCCTACTACAACTTTGACTAATCTTCGAAGCTGGCAAGACTGTGCCGGTGCTGAATGCTGAGGCATCGTGAAGATGTCATGCGGATCATTCGTGAAATTCATCAATCCGAACAGACATTCGAAGGCTGACTTGCAGGTTATTCGTTAGCCCTCATGAACCTCACTCTGATCTCCTTGCTGGATGGATGACATTGTATCTTGTTATATTTACATTTCCCGGAATATACCAGCCGCACACCCTAAATGAACACACAGTTTAGCGAACAAGCTTATTTTCAGTTGATGAGTCTCTGCAAGTACGCTTGTTCGCTAAACTGCTTTTTTATTCAATATTTATATCATGTGAAATATTCCCTTAGACAGTGTATAAAACCGTGTTCGCGAAGAAATTTCTTCTCGATATATCGCATCAGACGGTGAAATATATAAAATGAGCATAGTACTGAGCACACGTGTTTGAGTTCAGGTTGTGTGCCAAGCAAATCACAGTACAACAATCATTGTAACAAATAAATCTGAGCTAATTACTCTCAGGTTGCCCATGCCGAAGTAGGTGCATTTTCTCGGGGGATTCACAAACGAAGCCCTCGGCCCGCCGAGGCCTGATCCGCAGGGCAATGAGCGGGCATGTGAGAACCATAACCTATTTGGGACGGGTGTCCGATAAATCAGGCTATACGCTCTTCGGATAAGGTAAACATCCAAGGTGCCAAATACACTTCGATGTCCCATGAAGCAGGTAACCGCTACCAGAACCAGGAAGGTGTGTGTGTGTGTGTGTGTGTGTGGTTTCCACGCGTATTGTTCGGTTTTGAATCAAGGTTTTTGTCAACTCCCTTAGTAGAAATGTCAGTGATGCACCAGCCCCGTTATGGCCCCACTCGATATTGAGACTCACGTATGGGCATGAAATTTGCGAATGCAGTGTTTCCTTTTGGTATAACTTCTCATCAGGACAAGACTGAATTTAGTTGACTGATATATGTAGTTATTTGCCGAAGTGACCCGGTGAGAAATTGAGGATGGCTTTCTAAATCAAAGATTCTGTCAGGTATATTCGGTCTTATGAGGACTGTGTGTAACCCTTTTTATACCGTAATTAATTTAACTAATATTGACTATTGGATATCTGGCACTGACCGGCCATTCCTCTTAATGAAAAACCATGTATTACTTACTACAGTTCAATCGGTTCCGCTTCTGAAAGGCGGTTTTGGTCTTGGAGTTCGTGATCATTTTTGTTTGTGTAGCATAAGACACGTCCAATAAACTGAACTGGTTAGTACGAGATACCGTCAGAGACTGAATGGTGACAGACTTCAATGCTTAGGTCACCGAATTGCGCATATATTGTTATTGGTTTATCCTACCACATCCAGTTAACATTCACTTCTCCCGATTGCCAAAAGAAGATGAGAAATGAAAAATCGTGGTTAGAGTGTTTCTCATCTTCTGGAATAAGGTTCAACTTACCCTCTGGTTAGTTTTCTAGAAGTACTGGGGCTTTATGAAAAATTGACAGCCGCGAGGTTCTCTTTGTCACTTGCAACAGATCAGAGAGTTTTATATGCCTTTGGACCGTATATATTAATTACTTTAGTTTTCTGTGTTTCGCATGGACATGTTAATTCTTTATCCACCTACTTATTGGGAGATACTACTCACTTGTGAGTGATTCGCAAAAAGATGCAATTGGTGGTTTCGTTCAATAGCCAAAAATGAACAAGATCTGTTGGAGCGAATTGCTGCTGTTCGGTTTGGTGAATACAAGAATTCGCGTCTAATAGTGGACCGTTCCATCAACTATCCTGTATGCGTGTTGGAATTCTGAAGACTCGTTCCAAATGAGATATTTTGTTGTATGAATGACAATTTACCAATACCCTGACCGTTATTCGTAACCAACAACTTTCGTCGACCGGGCACCGCCTTCTGGAATTCTAACACACTTTCCATAATGGGATTCACTTTGTACCCAATTGTTAGCTTGTGAACGATCGTACGAAGTCACTTACTCTGTTTTTCTGTTCCAGTTTCCTATGCACTATCGTGTGACGGTTTTTTGAGCTGTCTCTCCGTTACCCCGTTGATCTACCAACGAGGAAGAAGTAGATTTCAGAGTTTAA